AAAAAAAAAGCATTTTATCTTATTTGATTGAAATTATAAACGAAGTGGATCCATCTCACACGAACCAAAATACATTCTATCTATTTCACTCAAAACGATTAAAATGTAAAATTATTAACTAACAAAAGAAAAAGATAATGTTCTTGATGGTATATTAATCCTCATCCTTTCAAATCCTTGACCACCAAGAACCCAAAATCAATGGTCCGGTTGACCTAGCACCACACGGAAATCAAATTTTAATCCAAAATACCGAAACAAAAATGAACGGCCTCGATCGAATCATCCCTTTTCGAAATCGCGAAAATGAACGGTGCAGCGTTAGTTAAAAAAAAACGAGGTATTTAACCCGGGAAAAAAGGAAAAAAAAAAGAAAGGAAAAAAAGGAGGTAAGTATAAGCAGGCAACCCCTCGAGGCGCAGGTTAGCGTTGAGCCTAGAAGGCGAACCCGAACGTTAAAACCGCCTCGCTTCGTTCTTTCTTTGTTTCTGAGTTATAAATAAAGAGCTTGCGTTTCCCGGCGAGTATGCAACGAAGCGAAAGTCGCAAAAGTGCGAAACCCAAGCCAAAAGCTTGCGTCTTTCTCGTGGGTTCAATTTCTCAGCTTCAGAAGTTCTCGTTTGGGCTCTGCTGAAGAAGAAGAAGAAGAAAAGCAATACACTTGACGCTGTTTTTTTCTTTTCTTTTGGGGCTGTGTTTGGATTAAATGGTGTTTACGTGTTCTGGGGAAGGAGAGAGCATGGCCATGGGACCCGAGAGATCGAAACCTCTTCACAATTTCATGTTGCCCTGTTTGAAGTGGGGGAGTCAGCGCCACCTCCGCTGCACCAAACTCGCCTCTGACTCCTCCACTGACACCGGAGATCGCCGATCTCCGGCGCCGCGGGAATTCGACCCCCCACCGCCGGTAAATGCTGACTCGAGACTGCGTCTCAAGCGGCCGCGATTCCTCGGCGACGAGGGGATCGACGCCGTCAGGGAGAAGCTCATGCTCGATCTCAAAACCGAGGCCGATAGGATGAAGGACGCGATTCTCGGCAAGGAGGTCGCCGAGGACAATGATGTTATCATCGAGGACGCGCCGCCCGTGACGGTGGCGGTTGAAGAGGAGGCGCAGCCGTCGGCCACCGGAGTAAGGACGTGGAATCTGCGGACGCGGCGGGCTCCCGTGACGGTCAGGATTGACGAGAGGAAGGCCGGGGTCGGGACGTCGTTTTCGCCGTTGAGGAGTGTCCCCGGAGCCGGAAAGTCGCCGAAATTAAGAGGGTCGCCGGAGAAAGAGGAGCGACCACTGAAGTTTTCTCTGACGCTGACGAAGAAGGAGATTGAGGAGGATTTCATGAATTTGGTGGGCCACCGGCCTCCCCGCCGGCCCAAGAAGCGACCCAGAAACGCTCAGAAACAATTGGATGTAAGCTGATCAATTCGTTACGTTATGTTATTCCATATCATTCTTTATGTTGTGTGTGTCGGAAACAAAAGAAAAAACAGCTCTTGAGTTTGGTGTTGTTGTGCAGACCCTTTTCCCTGGTCAGTGGTTGTCGGAGGTTAGTGCTGATTGCTACAAGGTTCCTGATGAAGCTGAGACTGGCAAGGTATGCATAATTCTTTTACAAAGTTTTTCTGTTTTCTGTTTGCTTTAATAGCTTTGCTTGTTTGATTGATTGGATT